ATAAGGTGACATCTGAGTAAAGACCTAAAGAAGGTGAAGGTGAGCCTGTCACTATCTGGGTAAGTGTCCCAGGTAAAGAGAACAGGTGGTACATTTATACCATGGAATACTATGCAGATGTAAAAAAGAAGGATCTCACACCCTTTGAGACAACATGGAGGGACCTGGATAGTATTATGCTAAGCAAAATAAGCCAGGATCTCACTTATCTGTGGAATCTAATGAACAAATTGACTCAACTCCAATTGACTCAAGAACAAATGAAATTGACAAAACAGATTCAGAGACATGGAAGCTTGCAAAAGACTAACGATTCTCAGAGGGAAGGGGGGAGGGTATGATGGGAAAAGATTAATTAAAGAATTTATATGTATACTAGAGGCCCGATGCACAAAATTTGTGCAAGAATAGGCCTTCCTTCCCCCGGCTGCTGGCACCGGTTTCCCTCTGGCACCCAGGTCCCGGGCTTCTATCACAGCCCCGGCTTCATCCAGAAGGTCGTCCGAAGGACACCCGGTCTAATTAACACATTATGTTTTTATTATTATAGATAGGCATAACCCATGGACACAGACAATAGTGCAGTGAAGGCCTGGGGAGGAGGGAGTCAATGGGGAGAAATGGTGATACCTGTAATATTCTCAACAATAAAGATAAACAAACAAACAAATAAGACAGCAAGTACAAAGGCTCTGAGGCAGAGTGAGCAAGGAGAGGTGAATAAATGATGTCAGAGCAGTAACATGGACAGGTCATGCAGGGCTTTGCAGGTCATGGAGAAAACTTTGGCATTTACTTTCTGTGAGATGGAAGCATGGGAAGGTACTGAGCAGGAGAGGAACGTGACCTGACCCAGGTGTTCAGTGTCACTCTGGCTGCATGTGGGGAGCAGGGAGACCATTGAGAAGGCTGCCATGATGATGTAGGCCAGTGGTTCTCAACCTTCCTAATGCTGTGACCCTTTAATACAATTCCTCATGTTGTAGTGACCCCCAACCATAAAATTATTTTTGTTGCTACTTCATAACTGTAATTTTGCTACTGTTATGAATCGTAATGTAAATATCTGATATGCAGGATGTATTTTCATTGTTACAAATTGAACATAATTAAAGCACAGTGATTAATCACAAAAACAATATTTAATTATATATGTGTTTTCTGATGGTCTTAGGCGACCCCTGTGAAAGGGTCGTTCGACCCCCAAAGGGGTCTCGACCCACAGGTTGAGAACCGCTGCTCTAGGCAGATGATGAGAGTGGACAGGACTAGGGTGACAGCAATGGAGGTGGGAAGAAATGATCAGGTTCTGAATATACTTTGAAAGAATTTGCTGATGGACTGGACATGGATATAAGACAAAGAGTGGACTCAAGAACAACTCCAAAGCTTTGGATCTGAGCAACTATAAGGATGGAGGTGACATTTACTGAGAACAAGCTTGGAAGAACAGATTTTGGGGGGAAAAAACAGGAATTCAATTTGGCCAAGATTACTCTCAAGATATCTCTAGAAATCCAAGAGGTGATACCATGTAGGCAGTCAGTCAGCAGTCACAGGAGAGGTTCTGAGCTGGAAATAGAAATTTGAGATATGTCTCCATGCTTATCCACCCCAAATTCCTTACAGAATCCACATGATTTGGCTCCTGCTGATGACTCCAGGCTCATCTTGCACCTGGCTAAGTCAATGGTTGACATATACACAAATCCTGAGCCCTCTCCTTTCCCAGCTATGTGATCTTGGACAAGTTACTTAACTTTTTCTGCCCTCAGCAACCTCATTTGCAAAAGGGAGATCATACTAGTACTGGCCTCCTAGGACTATTCATTCAAAAAAAATTTAAGCATCTAAAATATGCAGCCACTTGTCCTACATGCTAGAGATATTCCTTTCCCGCCCTTCTCCACAATCTGTTAACCACACATCCAGCCTGTCAAGACAGTCTTCTGGGTATCTCTCCCACCCACATCTTCCTCCGCTCCCTACCAAGACCCTTTCCCTGGTTCATCCCCGATGATCCTGCCAGACACCTTCCTGGGCTCCCAGACCCAAGTCTGTTTCCCGTCAATTTACTGCCAGATGACAGCAAATAGGGCCTTCCCTTCTAGACATCCTCCCATGGCTTCTCATTGCCTTCAGGAAATCCCCAAATAGCCAACAAAATCTTCCACGACCTAATTCATACAGGCCTTTCAATAAGATCTCCAAAACCAGATCACCAGGCCGTTTCTCATTGCTGCCTTTGTGCAAGCCATTCCACCGCACAAGTACCCCTCCCCCCAACCCTAGCATAGGTCTCGGCTCAGGCAGCTGCTCCACCTCCAGAAAAGTTTCCCTATCCGTGCTCCGTCTGGGTTCCCGCGCGTTCAACGTTGCCACCATTAGCGAACACAAGCAGGTAAGTAACGGAGCACTTGCTCACTCCTACTGACGGGGTCTTTCCCGCGAGCTGGGTGATGCCGCACGTGACGGGGCCGCTTCAGGCCTCTGCGCCCACCTCCAGCTCTAACTACGAACATCTTACCTTCACGCTCTCCACGATAAGCCTTCGGGCACCTGCCCCACGCCGCAACAGAAATCAACACCTGCGCACAGCACGGCCCAAAACACCCAATCACGGCCCTTTCCTTCCTCCTTCAGAGCTAGCGACCAGCATCCGGCTGTTTGTCTGACTGCTGATTGGCCGCCTGACATCCCGCCCCGAAACACGTGAGCGAAAAGAACTCTGGTCTTTGTAGTTCCCCGACGAAAAGTGGGAAGATTGCTAAGTAGAGCTCCATTTCCCAGGAGGCGCCCGCATCCCTGAGGTGGAAGACGGATACCCTTTGCAACAGGAGGTTCTTGATTGGCCATTTGGGAGACAAAAGTTTCCCAAATGCCAAGGAAACAGGCCCACTTACCTGGAACCCCTGGGATATTTTTTTGGCCTGAAAATCTCAAAACGCCTTGCTCTGTCCGCAATTGTTCCAAAGGGTAAGACCAGACGTCGGGGGTGGGGGGTGGGAGTAAGTCTGTACCCATTGTCTGCCTGTCAATCCCCAGATGGCACTAATAAGTCCTATTACACGTATTCAGCACCTACTGGATGCTTGCCTGGCAAAAGGAACCACTCCTGCACAGACTGTGGAAACCCTGGCTTACTAGGACACAAACTGTTGTTTCCCAGAAACAGGCCAGAGGTGGGCCTTCACCCTTTCAGAGTCTCAGTTTACCCTGGAAAAGGCAAATGTGGGCTACAATCCTATTCAGGATCTCTGTCTAGGATTCCTTAGGCCCAGACCTGCAGCCCCATGTCTGTACCAATAGCTGTAACTTCCCTATGGACATATCCGACAAGACAAAGCTCTTCCAGCACCCCCTCCCCAAACACATTCCGCACCATGCCTCTGAGGGCTGGGTGAAGGGAGCCAGGGCCCTGCAAACGCTCAGGCGGGCATGTGAGAAAGCTCTTTACTGGGGGGTACAGCAAGGAGGAGCAATGCCATCTCCCCCTACCTGCCCCCACCCCTTCCTAGGGCCCTGGGGTGAAGGGGGTCTCCCAACCACTGGACCACCACTGTCTTTGGTACAATAAATAGAAAACAAGGGGAGAGAGGGGGCCAAGGGTCCAGTCCTTAGTGTGGGGGTGTGCCTGAACCCCTCTCCTTGACCCCCTGCCCCAGGCCCCAGTCAGTGCAGGCCTCACCCACCCCGGCTGGGCAGCAGCAATTCCAGTCAAGGGGAGAGATGAGGATGGGAGCCTAGGGCCCCCAGATGGGGGAGGGGTATGGCTTCAGGAGGGCCCCAGGGAAGGGGCAGGGTCATGAGCTGGCTGCCGTACTCTGGGGTACACCACGAAGGCCCAAGCGAGGCCCCAGAGTGGCAGGGTCATCAGGGGGTGGGAGGGGTGGACGACCTCCTGTCATCCGAGTCCGGAGGGCTGAGGCAGCCGAGTGCTGGGGGGCAGGCGCTGGATGGAGTGGGGAGCAGTCAGGAGGGCCGCCCACCAGGCTCACATCCATCAGCTCCGGAGGTGGTGGTGAGGTTGGTGATGGAGGACGGCCAAGGCATCGGGGTTGGGGGGGTAACTGGGTGCCAGCCCCTGGCAGTGATGATGCAGAGGCGGGGGCTTGATGTGTCTTGTGGGGCACATCACCGCCTGCCCAGGGGCGCATCGGCTGGGAGAGTGGGACCTAAAGGAGCAAAGGAACAGTGGGTGATGGAGACCCAGGTTCCGGAGTCCCAGATACCCCACCACCCACCTCCAAAGGCCCTAAAGCCCCATACCTTGGGGCTGTTCATCTCACAGTCAGTGATGGAGGGCCCAGGGCCCCCACAATATCGGTTGCTGTAGCGGTAGGTCCGGTTGTCATTGGAGGAGCCACTGGAGCCTCCTGGAAATGCCAGGGGAGGAGAGAAGAGGCCTTAAGTGAGGAGAGGTGGTGGCGGGGTTTTGAGGTGGCTGAGTCTGATTCATGACCCAGGCCCAGGTTTGGGCTTTGGGTTCTGCATTGATGTGAAGAAATCAGGCCCAATTTTGAGATTAGGGGTCAGAGTTCAGTTTTGGGTGTTGGAGTCAGAACCAGTTAGAGGTCTGAGCACAAGCTCAGCTTCAGAGGTCAGGTCAGGACCAGCTGGAGCTCTCCTGCCCTAACCTTTGGAGTTCAGGATCATGCAGTCTCAAAGCTCTAGGTGAAGGCCCAATGACAAGGTCCCCAAGGTCAGGCCACACCAGAGCTTCCCCCACAACTGTCCTACCCTATTGGGCACCGGGCACCCACCAGAGCTGGAGATGGAGCTGGCGGTGCTGGAGGAGGGGCAGGTGTCGAGGGGGGCGGGCGAGGTGGAGGCACTGCTGCCTGCCGGGCCTGTGTTGGTGGCTTCATCTGCCGTGCGGCGAAAGAAGCCATGCTGCAGAGCCCCCAGTGGGCTGATGCGGGCGGCGGGCTCATACTCCAGCATGCGCAGCACCAGGTCCTGGAAGCGGAGGTAGTCGGCGGGGCTGTGGCCCGGCTCCCCCGCCCGCCGGCCCCCGGGCCCGCCCGTCTGCACGCCCAGCACCTCCTGCAGCCGCCGTGTCCCAGGGCCCTGGTAATCCTGGCAGGGAGGGGGTGGGAGGGGGGGCAAGAGAGTGGCCGTCAGTGGGCAGGAGGGGCAGGGAGACACACACGGGGAAACAGAGGCACCAGAGAGAAAGTGGAAAGAGAAGCTAAGAAGAGTTGTGGGGTGGGTAGGAGAGATAGGGTAGATTGGGGAGGAAGGAAAAGACAGACAAGGGGGAGAGGAAGGAAGGGAAAGACACGAGGGAGAGGAAGCAGGGAGAGAGGGAGCCCCAAGTGTGAGAGAGTGAGGGGCCACCAGGGTAGGAGGAGCGGCAAAGGGCAGGGGCCGCACCTTCCTGAGTTCCTTTGTCCTCCGTAGGGTCCAGCCACCCCCAGGCAGCCGTTCAAAGTACTTGCGAGCCTTGGGTGCCTGGTCTAGCATGGGAGCTGGTGGGATGCCCAACACCTCCACAATCCGATTCATTTGGTCCACCTGTGAGCATGTGGGCAGTCAGGGTCATCAGGCCAGCCCGGCCTGCACCCCCTCCAACACACCCCCTCCTCAGGAGCACACCTCATTGGAGCCACTAAAAAGGGGCTCTCCGGTGTGCATCTCCACCAGGATGCAGCCCAGGGACCACATGTCAATGGCCAGGTCATAGGGCGTGCCCAGGAGCACCTCGGGTGACCGGTAGAAGCGGCTCTGGATGTACTGGTAAATCTGAGGGAGGATAGAGGGCAATAGTCACCCCCACTGGCACCCCCAAAAACTACAATAAGCCTTCTGTCTCAAACTGGGGATGTGGTTGCTACAAACCCTGATGTTATCAGCACCAACTTTACAGGAGCCAGTACCTCCACTTTACTTATCGGCCTCAGAGTCTGCTGGCCTAGTCTGTTCCTGATCTCCATCTGTAGGCCTGACTCTGGGCCCCTCTTAGTCAGAGTTTGGCAGTCTGCTAACCTAGGCCCTTCCTAACATGCCAATCCAGACCCTTTTCATGCCACCACCATCATTAATTCAAATGACTGCTTACAGGAAGTTGCATAGCTGAAGCCCCTTCCCCACCTTCCATCCCAGCTTTAAGACGACTGGGTAAACAATCCTTAGCTAAGTGCCAACTAGGCTCAAAGCAACCCAATTTCCCCTACCCACATCTGGCAGCCTCAAAACTGGCCCCACCCCCAGCCTTCACTCTTCCCTTTCTGACTGGGCAGTATATATATCCTGTGGCCCTCTTCTTTACCTAAGCACTATCCCTTAGGCATCAGCCACTTCACTACCGCATCCAGCCTACTTCGGCCCCTTAATCTCTGGCTACCAGTTGGCTCTGCCCGGTCCCAGCCACACCCATACCCACACCACTAGTCCCACCCCTAGGGCGGGGCCAGGCCCTACCCGCTGGCCAAGCTGGCAGGAACTGCCGAAGTCCACGATCTTGATGGCACTGCGCTTGGGGTTGCAGAGCAGGATGTTCTCAGGCTTGAGGTCGCAGTGAATGATGCTAAGCTCGGGCGTGGCCAGGAAGAGAAGCGCCGTGCAGAGCTGCTGCGCCAACTTCCGTGTCAGGTTCAGCGAGACACCCCGGAAATGCGTGTTGCGCAGGAGGTCATACAGGTTGTAGGAAAGCAGCTCGAACACCAGGCACAGGTGGTTCCGGAACATGAAGTGCCGCTTCAGGTGCACTGCCGGGAAGGGGACCAAACAGGGGGGTGGAAAAAAAACCTGAGGCTCAGAGAAGGCCAGTGGTGGCCTGGGGTACGCAGGAATCAAGGAGAGGGCCGGAAGCAGATCTGTGTCTCTGCTTCTTGAGCACTGGCCAAAGTGTGGTGCCCACAGGTACCAGCTGCTAGTCAGGTATTTTTATATGGTCTATAACTTGGATCATACCAAGAAAAAGACTGATTTTCTTAAGAAAAGTGAATTCTTCCCAAGTCTCTTGTCAAACTGTCAGATTAAACCAAGAGAAAGTTTCCATTTGGTACTGACAGGTCTGTACAGGCACCGATGAAGAGGGAGACAGACCAGGCACCACTATTTTCCTTCAGCTAAGGAGGCTCACCAACGGTGTCTTTAATAAGATTCTATACTGCCTCATTTAATTTTATAACATTGTTTTAGTCTCAATTCTTTTTTTGTGTATGTGGCAGAGGTTACTCATTTTCCATTTACTGTGAGGATTTATATCTAAAGAAACATACTCTTCAAATCCTCTTGCTTTTTCTAAGAGGAACCAGTATAAACACGAGGTAAAAGGCTGGCATAGATGTTACAAGTAAAGGCTCTGGAGTCCACTGCCTGGTCAAATTACAGCTCTACTGAGTGCACTCTGTGACTTCATGCAATAATAGCACCTGAACGCCTTGTTTCTTCATCTCTAGGCTGTGGGCAATGATGCCCCTTCCGTGGCACCGTGGTGAGGCAGACAAGAGCTTATTTGTGTAAAGTGCTTACAACAGAGCCTGACCATTAACACCTAATAAACTCTGACCAGCATTATCTTGTGAATAGGACAAAAATCACAAAAAGTGGCAGAAGAATCACTGAAGTCATGGAATTACAGACCAGACCCTGTCCTGAGGACACCAACCCCGTCCTACAGCAGGGGTGACCTATCCCTAACAGTTCGTGTTGCCTCAGGGCTCACCGATGTAGTACTTCATCTCCGTGTCATGCTGGTTCATCAACTCCAGCAGCCGCAGCTCAATCTGGGCCTGGTTCAGGAAGGCCTTTTTGTTCTTGATGATCTTGATGGCCACCAGTTCCTGGGTCTGATGATCATAGGCTTTCACCACCTGCAGGGGCAGGGTATGTCACAAAGTGAGGGGAAATGGGAGGTGAAGGAGGAAACAGAGCCAGGCACCACTGTTTTCCCTCCAGCTAAGGAGGTTCACCAATATCAATATTACTAACAGGAATTCAAAATTGAGTGCTCACCAACAGTCAGGCACTAGTATGAACACTGGACATGAAATAACACAACCTCATGTGGAGAGTCCTGTTAATTGCAGTTTTTTGTTTTTTTAAGAAAATGAAACAGGCACAGGGAGAACCAAGTGACTGGGCTGGGTTGAATGGCCCAGCAGAGAACTTGAAACCACTGAACCACTGACTGTGTGACTCAACATCAGTGGGTGCCCATATCCCCCAATCTCTGGATCTGGGTGGGTGGGGGCATCCCGCACCTGGCCAAAGGAGCCTTTGCCAATGAGGGAGTCAATCTCATAACGCTCCAGCCAGCGCTCGCCACTGCGCACTATGTAGTCATGGTTGTCATCGTCATAACCGTGGTTCAGGACCTTCTTCTCCTTCTTGGTGCTTGAGTCCTGAGGAGGAGCCTGCTGGGCCCGCCGCTTCTTCTTTGCATAGTAGACCTGCCCAGCCCGGCCAGCCAGGAGATGAGGACTGGTGAGTGACCTGTGCCAGCAGCCAGGACTCTCTCAGCACCCAGCGGGGTCCCTCACACCCGGCTACCTCATTGATGTGCTTGTAGGTCTTGATGAGGTCCACGGAGAGCTTGCTGCATCGGGGCCGTGGTTTGCATCCCCGAACGCCCAGGGGAACGCCCTCCTCGGCAAAGAGCTGACAGTTAGGGCCATACCTTGCTGGAACGGTGTAGAAGGGGGGCCATGGAGGACAGAACTTTACTCTCAACTTACAGGGGGGAAACGGAGAACTAATGGGTGGCTGGCTCATCACTACTGCCTGCCTATTTATTTGGTCACTTTCTGACAACCCCACGAGCAGAAAAAGTCCCCAAGAGCAGAGGCTATGTCTTATTCTTGCTGTGTATCTTCAGTGCCTGGAGCAGGGCCTGGTATGTAGTGGATAATAATAATTATTATTTTTTAAATATATTCTTATTGACTTCAGAGAGGAAAGGAGAGGGAGAGAGAGAGAGAAACACCAATGATGAGAGAGAATCATTGATTGGCTGCCTCCTGCATGCTCCCAACTGGGGATCAAGCCTGCAACCCCGGCATGTGTCCTTGACCAGAATTGAACTGGGGACCTTTCAGGCTGCAGGGTGACGCTCTATCCACTGAGCCAAAGCAGCTAGGGCTGTAGTGGATAATTATTAAAGATTGGCTGAGTGTTCCTTTCTGAACCTCAGTGGGAGAGATCATACAAAAAACTTAGGCTCTGCCCCTCCCGACCCTTCGCCTGAGACCATCCATCTGGGTATCCCATCTTAAGGGTTCCCATCTTGCTTCACCCTTATCCCTTAGGGCCTTTCCAATGCCCACCCCCAGCCCCCCATCTGAGCACCTCTGTCCAGTTATTTCACTCCAAGAGTCCTGGATCTGGATCCAGCACCCTGGACCTCCCACTCCAAGCTCTACATTTCAGAACCTTAACTGTCTCTATCCCTGGAGATCTATACCCTGTACCCTAGGCCCTGCTAGCTCCAAGACCCTTCAGGCTCAACTTTCCTCCCCTTACACTCCCTCCAGATCTTTCACTCTGGACTTTTTCTTAGTGAACATTTATTGCTTACTATGTGCCACGCACTGTCCTCAGCACTATATATGTATTTCATTAACTGGTTTAATCCTCACAACAACCCTGTGAGGTAGATATCATTATTGGCCCCATTTTACAGAATAGAATACTGAAGCATGGAGAACCTAGTAATTTTGCCTATTTTAACCCAGGCCCTCAAAACCCTGACTCTGCCAGCAACTTTTCTATTATATTCAACTTCCATGGGGCTCTTCATGCCCCTGAGAGACTGTCCTGGACAACCACACTATCTTTGGCCCCAAGATCCTTCTATTCCCAGCCTCCCTCTACCCCAGGCAGGTGAGGAGCCAGCTGACCACATACCTGTGTGTGTTCCTGGGGCCCTGGGAAGCCAGAGAAGGGACCATGGCCCGGTGGGACGGCCATGGTGGGCTCAGAGGGCCGCAGGGGAGCGAGGCCTGGAGCGGGAGCCCGGCCGGGGGGCGCCTTCTCGCATCCTGCACCTCGGCTGCCACCGCCGCTGAGACCTGAGAGCAGGCGGGAGGCAGGGGAACAACATGGAAGGGGATGTGTGGGAGAATGCCAGGCAGGAAAGAGGTGGACATCAGAGAGAAGGCAAGGCACAGAGGGTGGAGGAAAAGTGCAACAGAGCAACAGGTGGGAATGAAGAGGGGACAGACAGAAGTGGTGAGGGGGAGGGGAAAGAAGGCACAGCAGAGTCCCTCAACAATGATTACCAAATAAATGAGGCAGGCAGCACAAACAGGGGCACATGTGAAGAGAGTGATCGGGAGTCAGGCAGGAATATGGGCAGGACAGAAAAGGACAGAAAGAC